AGGAAAGCAGGATCCTCACTAGGCAGCCAGAGGGCCCAAGGCCCACCCAGAGAGGGATGGGACCTGCCCTGGGTCGCTTGGCCAGGCAGGGACAGCAGGGACCAGAATCCAGGCCTCCTGAGCCAGGTGGAAGCCCAAGCAGTTTGGAGGCTGAAGTGACAATAAAATATATGGATAAATAAATCAATAAATTAAAAGCAAGCAGCCCAGTCCCTGATCCCTGGGCTGAGCCCCTCCACCAGGCTCAGGTCCAGGAGGAGGCAGGCCTGGTCTTTGTGCTGGGCTGGCCGGTCCAGAAGACTCCAGAGGGAGGCAGGCAGGGCCCTGGGGTCCTCAGCGTGAGTGGGTCTGGCTCAGTTATTATTCATTATCCACCAGGAGGCTGGGGGACAGAGGCGGGGGTCAGGAGGCCTCAGGAGCCCACTGCCCCTCCTGGCCACAGGGAGTGGGGAGCCACCACGAACCTGGGAAGAACACAGTGGTGAGGGTGTCTGGGGCCCGCAGGTGGTCGATGAGGACGCGCTGGAAGGCTTTGCTGCAGGGCGACTGCTGGTGCCTGTGGAGGGACCCAGGCTGCCTCGACCTCGGTCTCCCCACTCCCGCCCCTGCCCTGCTGCCAGGATCAGACCCCGGCCCTCCTCATGCTGCCTCTGTAGCCTCAGTCCTCTCCTCTGTGACACGGGGATGCTGTGCAGGTGGAATGGACACTGCACAAGGTGCTTGGCATAGGATGTGGCCCACAGTGACAACTATGTACTCACTGAGTGCCTGTACTGTATTCAGGTCTTCCCAGTCACCTCCTTTAGCCCACAGGAGGTGGAACTGTTACCACCTCCATTTTGGTAAGGACCTGGGGGCTCAGGCAGGTAGGGTCACTCATCTGAGGTCACAGAGCCAGTGAGCAGGATTGGAACCCTGGCCTGACTCACTTCAGGGCCACACTCCACAGTGTTACTGGCCAGACTGGCACTCATACCTTCTCCAGGAGGCCTCATCCTGCCAGAACTCATACAGGGTGAAGGAGGCACCGTCCGGCATCCTCTGGGCGGACACACTGCGGGGCCAAAGAGATAGCCAGGGCAGGGCTGCCACCACCTCTGCCCACCTCTGCCAGGGGTCTCATGGGAGTCCTGGCCCTGGATGGCCAGCCCAAGCACCCGTCTCCTCACCCCCTCCCCACCTCCAGCTGGGCACTCACTGCAGACAATGGCTCTGGGCCGCTGTGAAGTCCACATAGCAGCACAAGGCTCGGTGGAAGTCCTGCAGGGCTTCCTCTGCCACCTGGACCTGCCTCTGGACCACAAGGATGTGCTGGTGGGAGAGGCAGCCAGTCAGCCAGGGCCGGTGTGGGACCAGGTGCAGGGGAGGGACTGACTGTGGCCTCCAGGAGGTCCCCTGCAGCTGTCACCCAGGCTGGAGTGCAGTGGTGTGTGGGATCATGGCTCACTGCAGCCTCTACCTCCCAGGCTCAGGCAATCCTGCCACCTTGGCCTCCCAAGGTGCTGGAATTACAGGCATGAGTCACCAACCTGCCCCCCAGCCTCGCTGACTCCATCCTCCTCTGTCTCCAAGGGTGCTGCTTGACCCAGCCACTGTCCCTCCCTCCTGCAGTATGCTACCACTTCCTTCTGCCCTCCAGCTTCACGGCCACAGACCTGGCTTTCAGAAATGCTGATGGGGAACCAAAGCCCAGAGAGGGGCAGCAGTTCCTGCAGGGTCTCAGAACCCGGCACCTGCCTCGCAGGTCTGGGAGAGGGGCATGTGAGCACCGCAGAGGGTGGGCGGGCAGATGGCTCCATGAACCCCCACTTCATGAGCACCCCCAGACCCTGCCATTCAGCTGCTGGCCCCTCTCCTGGGCTCACCGAGTCAGGCCCCTTGGCCAGGTCCTCTTCATGCAGTGGTTCCAGGCGGGGGGCCTGTGAGGGCACAGAGTGTGGGCTGGGCCTCCAGAGTGGCCCTGGCTCAGGCAGATACCAGGAGGGTCCTCCCTCGTGGGGCCCTGGGCCGGCAGCTCTCACCTTGCATTCGAGCTGGTCAATGAGCTCCTGGAGGCGGTTCACCTGGAGCCGCCACTGCATCTCGGCCTCTGAGCTGAGCCCTGTGGGTGGGACCCATGCAGGGTCAGGCAGGGGCCCAGGACGTTCTTGGGATGAAGTGAGGGGCAGCAGATGAGCAGACCCTGCTGGAATCAGGGATGTGGTGCCTGCCTCACCCAGGCCTCCCACCCCACCCCAGGTACACCTGTGTCAGAAGAGCCAGGGGACCAGGTGGATGACCGGCTGACGCTCTTCAGGGCCCGGCGCCCCGCCCGCCGGCTGCTGTGGGGCCAGCTCTGTGCCTCCACACTCTCTGCATCTGACCTATAGGAAGTAAGGCTCACAGGGCTGAAGACTGGGGCCCCAGGACAGGACAGGCCTGGGTGGGGTAGACAGGCCTCCTGGGATTCCAAGGCCGAGCCCCAAAACCAGTCTCATCTCACCCTGTTATGGCTTCCCCGCCAGGATGCTAGGACTGTGGGGATTTGGAATGGGGGTCACAGTGGGCGCTTGTGCACTGGCCCCATGGGTCGGCAGGGCCCTTACATACCGCCAGCCACGGGCCTGGGCCTCCAGGGTATCTGACGCCCCCTCCAGCGAGCTCTGCAGGGCTTGCAGCTGGCTCACTGTCTCCCGAAGCAGGAATCGCGTCACAAATTGGTCCACCTTGGAGGCCTGCTCATACTCCTGCGGGCCAAGGGGGCACGGTCAGCATCTCCTAGCCCGGGCATTGATTTCTGAGTGGGTCCTCTGCCTCTTGCTCATCAGACCAGGGGCATGCAAACCTGGCATAGGCAGGAGGAGGGCACTGAGATCAGATGGGTAGGGAGGCCTGGATCCCTCCTTGTCCGGGCCTGGCCTCCTCCAGAGGGGTGTGAGGCCAACTCACAGGAGGCATCTGCCTGCCGGTATGCCTGGCTTTTCTGGACCTCATGGCCCCTTCTCTGTCAGGGCTACCACCTTTAGCACTGTCATGGAGCTGTTACAGGGTATCCAAAGGCCAATTTTGACACATGAGGCAAAATGATGGCCTGATGCGGCCACAGACTCATAATCTATGTATTCACTCATTCATTCATTCACTCATGCACACAACAAACACTGAGCGCTCTTTACTAGGAGCTGCCAATAAAAGACAATCAGGTCGCCATCCTCACTTACACACACACACACACCCCAGCACTGACCCCAACCAACACCGTCAGCCTCCTCCCAGCCCTTCCCAGAGTGGCACAGAGGCAGAGAGGCTGCCCACATGCTAGGCCCTGCATGGCCCATCATGGGATTCCATGGCTCCTCCACTACCTGCACTTGCTGGAGCTTCCAATTCCTCATCTCTAAAACAGGAAGGATGAAACTCAGCACACGGAGCTGCAAGAAGCTCCCGGGAGTGAATTCCTGCACAGAACTCAGCCCAGGGTCTGGCCCGCAAGCTCTCGATGCCAGACCTGCCAGCCGTCTATGGTCAAGTGTAATACACTAAGGAGCCTGCCCACTTGTACACCCAGGAGTCACAAACACCTGAGAATTGCCTAACCCCACCACGTGCGCGTACGCACGCGCGCACACACACACACACACACACACACAAGGCCAGGGTGGGAGTCCTAGGGAGCTGTGGTCCAGGTGCTTGCCCTCTCCAAGGGGACTCCAGAGGCCTATCCATCAGAGACTTCATCTGCCATGATCTGCGTCAGCTCAGCTGTCAGATGGGACCTCTCGGGCCGTGCTTATGAGCTGGGAGACAGGGACAGAGAAAAGGCTGGGTCTTTTCATTCTCAGGCCAAGGTTTCTATCTCCATGAAATCTTTCCAAAAAAAAGATCCCTTTTCAAGTATTTGAGATGATTAGTTTCTGTTGCTTGCAACCAGAGAACTGACAGAAGCACCCACTCAGAGCCAGACACTATTCTAAGAATTTCATTTAGTCTTTTTTTTTTTTTGCGCTTTTTTTTTTTTGTTTTTTTTTTTGAGACAGAGTCTCACTCTGTCACCAGGCGCCAGGCTGGAGTGCAGTGGCGCGACTTGGCTCACTGCAACCTCCGCCTCCCGGGTTCAAGCAATTCTTCTGCCTCAGCCTCCTGAGTAGCTGGGACCACAGGCGCACACCACCACGCCCGGCTAAATTTTTGTATTTTTAGTAGAGACGGGGTTTCACCATGTTGGCCAGGATGGTCTTGATCTCTTGACCTCGTGATCCGCCCGCCTTGGCCTCCCAAAGTGTTGGGATTACAGGCGTGAGCCACCGTGCCCAGCCGTTTTTCTGTTTTTTTGAGAAGGAGTTGCACTCTTGTTGCCCAGGCTGGAGTGCAATGGCGCCATCTCAGCTCGCCACAACTTCCTCCTCCGGGGTGCAAGTGATTCTCCTGCCTCAACCTCCCAAGTAGCTGGGACTACAGGCATGCACCACCACACCTGGCTAATTTTGTATTTTCAGTACAGATGGGGTTTCTCCATGTTGGTCAAGCTGGTCTCAAACTCCTGACCTCAGGTGATCAGTCTGGCTTGGCCTCCCAAAGTGCTGAGATTATAGGCATGAGCCACCATGCCCTGCCTAGTCTTTTGTTTTTCTCGAGACAGAGTCTCACTCTGTCACCCAGGCTGGAGTACAGTGGCGTGATCTTGGCTCACTACAACCTCTGCCTCCCAGGTTCAAGCAATTCTCCTGCCCCAACCTCTCGAGTAGCTGAGATTACAGGCATGCACCACACCTGGCTAATGTTTATATTTTCAGTAGAGACAGGATTTCACTGTGTTGTCCAGCCTGGTCTTGAACTCTTGACCTCAGGTGATCCACCTGCTTTGGCCTCCCAATGTGCTGGGACTACAGGCATGAGCCACTACGCTGGGCCTAATTTAACCTTTGTAACAATTTACAGGAACCATAATTGACCCCATTTTGCAGATGAGAAAACTAAGGCCCAGATAGGTTGATTACCTGGGCTAAGGTCACACAGCAAGTTAGTGGCAGGGCCAAAAATCATATCTAAACCACAGAAATCCCCCTCTACTTGCCACTCAGCACTTTACATGCATTGCCTCATTTACGATCATTAGCCATTTTAAAGCTGAGAAACCAAGGCTAGAAGTAACAGAGTGAATACAGCCCAGATCTACCTGTGGGCCCTGGGAAGCTGTGCTCAGAGCCTGCAGTTGGTGAGGTCGGCTCATGAGGTCACAATGTGGCCAAGACTCAGGGGGCAGAGCAGACAGAGTGTGGGCCACGGTCCCCAGAGGTGACGAGCCCCACCATGGGAAACAGTGGATCCCACAAAAGGACCAAAGCACCCAAGCAGGCCCGCAAGGAGAGGCCAAGTGACATGGACAAGGCCTGGTGGAGACAGTTCCTCAGCCACCTGACTCGGAAGAAGCCAGCTGTGAGTGTGGGGGATGGGAAGCAGGGCTAGGGAGACCCATGGGAGTCAGGGGAAGCTGGACAGCTGGGTGGGAAGGGATGCTGAGAGCCTAGGCCTTGTGTGAAGTCCTAGGGGGTGAGGGAGGAACTGGAAAATCTCTCCCAAGGATGAGGATCCCAGGAGCCCACATAGGTGTAGACAGGGGTCCTTTCAAGGTGGCTCACGCCTGTAATCCCGACACTTTGGGAGGGCAAGGTGGATGGATCACTTGAGCCCAAGAGTTTGAGACTAGCCTAGGTGACATAGGGAGGCCCCATCTCTACAAAAATTTAAAAATTAGCTGGGTGTGGTAGCAAATGCTCACCGTCCCAGCTACTCAGAAGATTGAGGTAGACTGCTTGAGCCCAGGAGGTCGGCGATGCAGTGAGCCATGACACCACCACTGCACTCCAGCCTGGAGAACATAGCAAGACCCTGTTTGACTCAGTCTTATTTAAAAAAAAAAAAAAAAAAAAAAAAAAAGAGGGCAGAGATGCCAGAACTAGAAGGTGGATGAGACTTGAGGGCCCAGGGGGGTGAGTGTGAGTGGGATTCTCTCCCAACCCTGGACAAACAGGCGGAGGTCCCAACAAGGACAATCAGTCCTAGTTGGTACTACTGAAGCTAGGGGCAGGGGGAATCCCCTTGCGTCCTCTCGCCAGCTCCTAGACTCAAAAGTTCCCTGCCTCCCTCTCAAATCAGCAGAGACTCTGGACCAGGCGGGGGTAGGGGGTGCTGAGAGCCCCTGACATAGAGCTTAGAAGGAATCTCATAAACCTGGTCTCAGGAAGTCAGCCTGGGATGGATGATGGTTTCCAGAGGGAGGCAGAGTCCGGGGCGCCTAGCAGGGAAAGGCGGGCTTCCCCGCAGCCTGAATTGGACAGGGGTCCCCTCCAGCCCTGTGCATGGGCGGATAACAGCACCCGGGTGGATGAGGGTCCCAGGAGAAGGGCGGGGAGGCCCCGGGTCGTGGGTTCAGCCCCGGCGCACTCTCCCTCCTCACACCCCTGCTCCACCCCCAGACCAGGATCGTGCTGCTTCTCCCCTTAGACAAGCGGCAGCCGCTGGCCGAGGCTGGGCGACCGAGTGACGACGAATCAGGCAGTGGGCTAGGCTCCCCGGCGGCGCCCAGGCTGCGCGGAGCGGGAGAAGGCGGCGAGGGCGAGCTGAAGATGCCGGTGCTGCTGCTGTTACGGCGGGAGGCGCGGCGGCCGGAAGAGGGCGTGGCCGGTGCGTTGGGCGCGGGCGGGGCCGGGGCCCAGGCCGGGGCCGCGCTGAGCTGGCCGCGGCTGCACCAGTGCCTGCGGTCCCCGGGCAAAGCACCCGGCAAGGCCGGCCCCACCCAAGAGCAGCCGCACAAACGGCACCGCTGCCGTCGCTCACGGCTCTAAGCCCCTGACCCTCCAATAAAGAGCTTGTGGCAACCCTGGCGCCTGTGAACCCTGTTGGAGGCGTCCGGGCGCAGAGTCGGGTTAGGCAAAGCGGAGGCTGGAAGCCGCACCGGGGTGAACGAGGCGAGGCGTATTGAGGGCAGAGCCACCGCCACGGTCTGGAGCCAAGGCTGTCTTTTGCTTTCTCCTCCCTTGTGCCAAGAGTCAGAACACAACCCCACACCTTGCTACAGCGGTGAGAGGCAGTTCCCTTCCCCCAACACTCCAAACCCAGTCACATCCCGCCCAGTGTGCAGGCTCGAGGTGGGCTTGGGCAAACCCAGGCGTGGCCACGCTATCTGTTTCCAGCAAAGCCTGCAACTCCCCCAGCATCCAGAAATCCCTCTTAGGCAGAGGGAGGGTCCCAGACCAACAGGCACCATCCTAGAAGGATAGCCAGGACACCACAGTCAGCTGGGGCAAGGCCTGAGACGTGGATTCTGCTGTGGACGCACCCAGGACAGGCTGGAAACCCTGGGCCTCTGGCCCCTCATGCCCACACATTGTGTTTGGTAACCCCAAAACACTCAGCCCCCCAATCTTCCCTAAGGCACCTCTGTCTCCCAACCTACCCTGTCCCATCTCCTTTCCCACAAGACAAAGCCTTCTTCCAAACCATTCATCTGTCTAGGGCAGCCCACTCCCCTGCTCATCAGCTTTCAACAGGTCTCTTACCTACAGGGAAAAAGCCCCCAGCCTCAGCCTCACTCCCCAAATCACTTAAAAAAGGCCCTGCCACTTTCTGCGGCCTGGATCCTGCTACTTCTCACTCCTCTGGGTCCCAAATCCAGCTCCACACCTCAGTGCCATCCCCAGCCTGCCGAACTTGCAGCCTGCCTTCCTGCCACACACTGGCAACCAACCTCAGGATGCCTTCTTGTGGGGGCAGATGCAGCAGGACTGGAGGTCCCAGCTCACTAGAGCCACCAGCTCAGCCTCTGCTGTCACCGTCACTTTGATGAACATCTCCTCCACCTTGCCTGCACCAGGCTGAAGACTATGGCATCGCTCCTGCTAATTGTGAGAACTGACTCTTCCCTACCACCCACATGGTTACAATCAGGGTAACCACATTCTTCCATGGAGCGGCACATCCTACCCATACAGTAATTGGCCCAAGCTGGCCCTGTCAGCCCCTCCCCCTAGGACTGTCATTCAGGAGCCGTAAGAGACCATGTTCTCTACTTGAACATGCACAGGATAAAGCCAATCTTCAGAATAGAAACACAATACAAAGACAGTGCACAACATCCTGAGTTTCTAACAGCCCTGAGGTCAGACCCTATTTCTGAAACCTGACTTCACTGTTGCCCTTGGTATCCAAAACATATAAGATCCTTGTAATAAAGTCCCTATTTTTGGCTTACATTCACCTGAGTCTTCTACTTGCAACCAAATTTGTCCTGAAGAGAATAATGACGCTTTGCAGAAACAAGAAGTGGCCTCTTTCCTGTGTGTGGGGATTATTACTACCCTTTGGAGGAGAAAACCAAGCCCAGAGAAAGATCAAGACTTGCTTAGGACTGCATAGTAAGTCAGCCTCAGAACTGAGTCTCACTGGGTACGGTGGCTCACACCTGTAATCCAAGCACTTTGGGAGGCCGAGGCAGGTGGGTCATCTGAGGTCCTGATTCAAGATCAGCCTGGCCAACATGGTGAAGCCCCATCTAGGGGGCTTGCGCCTGTAATCCCAGCTACTCAGGAGGCTGAGGCAGGAGAATCACTTGAAACCGGGAGGCAGGGATTGCACTGAGCCGAGTTTGCACCACTGCATTCCTAGCCTGGGCAGACTCCGTCTCAAAAGAAAAAAAAGAACTGAGTCTTAAACTCAGGTCCACGTGACTCCATCTGCGGAAACCCCTGATGGTAGGGCCAGAGTCTCTCCTGGCTTCTCAGAGCTGTAGATCTGTGACTAAAAGCTTTTTCTTTGGTGCTGGGAGGGTAGGGGCCACACATCTGGCCAGCGTACATCAGATAATTCTAAGTGGTGTGGGAAAGGAATCAGACTAATTGTGCTGGGCTGCTGAAGCCAGGCCCCTGGATGCCAAAATCACTGCCCTTGGCCCTGCCCAGGAGAGAAGATGGGTCCAGGGAGTTGTCATTAGGGTAGGGGGCTGCATAAGTGCAACGGCTGCTGAGGAGTGAGGTCACAATGAGCCCAATCCAAGTTCCTTTTGGCCTTCTGACCTGCCCCACCCACTCCACAACCAGGAACTTCCGTCAAGCCCAGGTGAGAGGTGCCAGGAGGCTGCCTGGGTCCCCAACCGGGATATATGTCCAAATGGCCTTGCCACAGGAACTCTTTACCCTCAAAGCTCTGCTCCTCCTGGAGCCTTCTTAGACTCTAAAAGATCAGTCCTAGCCATCTTGTCAGCCATCTCAGCAAGGGCTGACTGGGCTGAACAGCAAAGCAGAGGCGAGTCCTAAGAGTGTGGGGCCCAGTGCTAGGTGTGGAGCCTGGAGCCCGGCACCAGAGGAAGAGGAAGATGGAGACATGCAGCTGGAACCCAGACAGAGCCGAGACTGAGGCCTGAACTAGGGGCGGAGTCTCAGGCGTAGGCAAGTGCCACGAGCTGAAAAGGAGGCAAACGGCAAGGACAGAAGAGGCGGGGGCTTTCCAACCAGAGGGCGGAGCGAAGAGCTGAGAGGGGTAGTGATCTGACCCAGAAGAGGAGGAACTTAAGCCCCGGAGGCGGAGCCAGGGGCTGAAGGGGACCACTCTCTAGGACAGAGTCCGGTGGCATGGAAAGGTGGGGCTGAGCCTGAAGGTGTCGTCTGTGTCTGGGAGCCTTCGTGTGCACCGGCTGTCCCCAATGGGCCGTGTCGCGGTGGTGGTGGACCAGGGCTCAGGCTTCACCAAGGCGGGCTTTGCGGGCGAGAACCAGCCGCGCATAGTGCTGAAGAGCTCCAGCCTGGTGCCCAGCTGGGATCGGCCGGTGCTGCCCGGCGCGCCGGGCTGCGAGCTGGCGGGCGGCGTGGCGCGGGCGCACCCCATCAAGCACGGTGTGGTGGTGGACTGGGAGGCGCTGGAAGGGCTGTGGGAGCGCCTGCTGGTGGGCGGCCTGCGGGTGTGCCCGGAGCAGTGGCCCGTGCTGGTGAGTGACTCGCCGTCGGCACCGCCCGCGGGCCGCGAAAGGGTAGCGGAGCTGCTGTTCGAGACCCTGGCAGTGCCCGCATGCCACATGGCCAGCACCGCGTTGCTGGCGCTCTGCTCCACTGGCGTGTTCAGTGGGCTGGCCGTGGAGGCGGGCGCGGGCGTGTGCCACGCCACGCCCATCTACGCAGGTCACTCGTGGCACCAGGCCACTTTCCGGCTGAACGTGGCGGGCAGCACCCTGTCACGCTATCTACGGGACCTGCTGGTGGCGGCGGACCCTGATCTTTCGCAGCAGGCCCTGCCCCGCAAGGCCATCACACATCTCAAGAAGCGCAGCTGCTATGTGTCCCTGGATTTCGAGGGCGACCTCCGCAACCCCGCCCGCCACCATCCGGCCAGTTTCAGCATGGGTAACGGGTGCTGCATCTGCCTCAGCAGCGAGCGCTTCCGCTGTCCCGAACCCATCTTCCAGCCGGGCCTGCTGGGCCAAGATGAGCCGGGGCTGCCTGCGCTGGCCTTCCGGGCGCTGCAGAAAATGCCCAAAATGCTGCGGACACGGCTGGCAGACACCGTGGTGCTGGCCGGCGGCTCCACGCTATTTCCTGGCTTCGCCGAACGCCTGGACAAGGAGCTGGAGGCGCAGTGCCGGCGACACGGCTACGCGGCCCTGCGGCCCCACCTGGTGGCCAAGCATGGGCGTGGCATGGCTGTGTGGACCGGCGGCTCCATGGTGGCCTCGCTGCACTCCTTCCAGCGCCGCTGGATAACCCGGGCCATGTACCAGGAGTGTGGCTCCAGGCTGCTGTATGATGTATTCAACTGAGTCAGGCTGGACTGGGGGTGGGGGGATACCGCGGTGGAGGACAGCTCTCTATCTAAAGAGTCTCAAGTGTTTGGAGCTGGCAGGGTCCTCCTGAAGGTTGGCGCTGACTGGACGGGTCACCCCCATACCCTTTCCGGGCTAGGAGGTGTTTGGGACCCATGGGACCCTCATTTTGAATTGCAGTTTGAATCTTCCCCAACCACTGCCAGTTCAGAGAATGCCAGTCTAGCTGCCCACCCCCAAGCCCCACTTCATGGCAATAAAGGTGATGCCCCCACCTGTCTCCATGAACAGATATGGGAGTTCCTCCAACCTGTCGTCATGTACCGTTTGGACACATATCCCATGCCAGGCCCCAAGGGGCAAGCCTTTGAAAAGCTACTAACTCTCATGTGAAAGTCACCAGGAGGAGCCCTGTGCCTGGCTGTGTGCTCAGGTGATTGTTAACTATGAGTGCATGGGTTTCCCCTTCTGTAAAAAGTGGGGTCAGGCACAATCCCAGGCCTGCTCACTGTTCCTTCCTCACCCCCCTATTTTTTGAGATGGAGTCTCACTCTGTCACCCAGGCTGCAGTACAGTGGTGCAATCTCAGCTCACTGCAGCCTCCAGCTCCCAGGTTCAAGTGATTCTCCTTCCTCAGCCTCTCAAGTAACTGAGATTACAGACACGCGCCACCATGCCTGGCTAATTTTTTTGCATTTTTAGTAGAGACGGGGTTTTGCCATGTTGGCCAGGCTGTTCTCGAACTCTTCACCTTGTGATTCGCCTGCTTCATCCTCCCAAAGTGCTGGGATTACAGGCGTGAGCCACCACACCCAGTCTACTCCCTCCCCCTACAAGAGCTATGGAGCAAAGGGAGGTGGCACTATTTCTTGAACACACAAAGGGAAGGGTGGCTTATTTTCTGAAGTCACCACTCAAGGGGCTCAAGCCCCGGATGTCAACACTGTTTGTGCTTGTGCAGATACATGTCCATATGTGCACACAAACACATGGGTGCTCACATACCTGCCTACTCACGTATGTCCTCAGCCAGGCGCTGCCCTGTGAACATGTGAGCACAGCCTCCCACGCCTAGCTCAGCCCTGCATGATACCCATCACAGCTGTGACTGGCCAGTAACAAAAGCAACAGCAGCCGCTAGTACGAAGCACCTACTGTGTGCCAGACATTATTCTGGGTGCTGGAAATAGAACAACACAGACAAAAGCCCCTGCCTTCATTCTCACTCGTCACAATGATGTAAGGAGGGCAGCTCTATTGTCATGATAGCTTATAGATGAAAAAACAGGCCCAGAGAGGTCAAGGGGCACAAAGTGGGAGAGCCAGGATTTGAACCCAAGCCCCTAGCTCCATAACCCTGAGTCAAGACTGTGGAGGATCCCACAGCACAGCAGACACCTGCTGCCTCACGGTGGCCCCCCACCATCAGCCACTCCACTCACCAGCTTGGTGGCGTCCATGGCAGCGAGAACTGCACGGTTCAGCGATTCCAATGCAGCCAGCACGGGCCGGTAGACACCCAGGTGCTCTGAGAAGTAGTCTGTGGGCAGAAGAGGTGTTCAAGGGTTCCTGGACCCCCACCCATCTACCTGGGATTCTGGCCCCCCAGAAATCCTCAGCAGTCAAGCAGGTCTTGTATACTGAGCCCAGCCCGACCTGTCCCATCAGGAGACCAGCAACAGCCCCTTGCCACACCTACCCTGGGACCCAGGGGCCCTGGGAGACAAGAGCTCCCATGGGCCTACTTACCACACAGTTTTTCAGTTTCTAAATTGCTGCAGGGAAAAGAGAAGGCGCTCTTC